CTCAATGCATCTTTATCTTCTGGCCTGCCCATTGTTGAAGTTAGGAGACCTGGCTGGACCACCAGCTCAATGTGCAAATTCACCTAGCTTTTGTTTCACTTTGTTGCTAGAGAATGTTATCTTTCCTGTGGTCAAATATAAGGATTTGTTTCTTATTGTTTAGAGCAGGTAGGGGTTCTTTATTGTTGATAATTATATTGGCGAGTCTTTTTGGCAAGGATTTCTGTTTATTCACTATAATATTTGACTACATTCAAAGTTCAAGTCTTTTCAGCTGAGATGCCTTTTGCAACTGGGACTTATTCAGTAAGCTTTTTTTTTTTTTAAACTGGAGGATTAAGATAATTTTTGAAAGTTTTAGTTTTTGTCCCTGTATTAATAAATGGTATCAGGTTACTGTTTTTCAAGTTCTTAAGTTTGCTTTTACTCACTTATGACAGCAGATAGTATCTGTTATGAGCGAGGCACCTTCTCGAATTCATGAGCATGCTCCTGAGGGCAGAGATGTTTGTTCTTTTTCACTGCTCTATCCCTTGAACCTAGAACAGTGGCTGGCACACAATAGGGGTTAAATAAATATTTGTTGAATGAATATATTAAATTTACCAGTGTTCAGTATGTTAGAGAAATAACAAAACTTCTTAATTTCATGTTTTGAAATGTCAAAACTTAACTGGTTTTAATTAGCTAGGTTCTCTGATTTACCTTTTCTCTCATTCTTTTATTGACTGATCAATTTAGTACTTCTGCTTCATTGACTACGCTAAAGCCTTTTACTGTGTGGATCACAACAAACTCTGGAAAATTTTTAACGAGGTGGGAATACCAGACCACTTTACCTCCTGAGAAGCCTATGTACAGATCAAGAAACAACAGTTAGAACTGGATGTGGAATAATGGACCAGTTCAAAATTAGGGAAGGAATATGTCAAGGCTGTATATTGTCACCCTGCTTATTTAACTTCTACTCAGAGTGCAGCATACGAAATGCCAGGCTGAAGGAAGCACAAGCTGGAATCAAGATTGCCAGGAGAAATATCAACAACTTCAGATATGCAGATGATATTACTCTAATGGCAGAAAGCTAAGAGGAACTAAAGAGCCTCTTGATGAGGGTGAAAGAGAAGAGTTAAAAAGCTGGCTTAAAACTCAACATTCAAAAAAGTAAACCATGGTATCCAGTCCCATCACTTCATGGCAAATAGATGGAAAAGTGGAAATATTGACAGACTTTATTTTCTTGGGCTCCAAAATCACTGCAGGTGGTAATTGCAGCCAAGAAATTAAAACATGCATGCTCTTTGGAAGGAAAGCTATGACAAACCTAGATAGCGTTTTAAAAAACAGAGACATCACTTTGCCGACAAAGGTCAAAGTTGTGGTGGCTCAAATGGTAAAGGAACTGCCGGCAGGGAAGGAGACCCAGGTTTGATCCCCAGGTTGGGAAGATACCCTAGAGGGGAAATGGTAACCCACTACAGTGTTCTTGCCTGGAGAATTACATGGACAGAGGAGCCTAGCGGCTACAGTCCATGGGATCACAAAAGAGTCGGACATGACTAACACACACATGATTTTTCCAGTAGTCATGTACAGTAGTCATGTATATGTGAACTGGGCCATAAAGAAGGCTGAGCGCCGAAGAATTGATGCTTTCAAACTGTGGTGATGGAGAAGACTCTTGAGAGTCCCTTGAAGAGCAAGGAGTCAAACCAGTTAATCCTAAAGGAGATCAACCCTGAACGTTCATTGAAGGACTGATGGTGAAGCTGGAGCTCCAGTACTTTGGCCATCTGATGTGAAGAGCTGACTCATTGGAAAAGACTCTTATGCTGGGAAAGACTGAGGGCAGGAGGAGAAGTGGGCAACAGAGGATGAGATGGTTGAAAGGCATCACCAGCCCAGTGACATGAGTTTGAGCAAAGTCCAGGAGATTAGTGACAGACAGGAAAACCTGATAACGCTGTAGTGGATGGGTTCACAAAGAGTTGGGCCGACTTAGTGACAATAGCAGTTTAGTAAACGTTTTCATTACAGGGTAAACTAAGAAGAGATATAGTGAGTACATCTTTTTTTAGTGAGACACCAGTTCTTTTTAAAGTTTCTTTTGGAGATAGTGAGGTTAACAAGCATCTTACTTAGCCTATGATTTCAGTCATCTATACTTTTAAAAACTTAGTTGTACTCTCTTATTCCTGTATTGTTTCTAGCAGTGATTGTAAGGATTTTATTTCTTTCATCTCTCTTACCCATGTGCAAAAGGGAACATGTTGAAACTTAATAATTTAAAAAATTTAATGTATTTATTGAGCAAATATTTTGAGTGCTTACTGCAAACCAGGCACTATTCTATGTCTGGGAATACTATCCTGTGTTTTGAGAGGAAAAAAAATGACAAAACTTTTTTTCTTCGTGGAACTTAAATTCTTATAGAAGAGATAGGGAAAAAATTTAAGTAATTAAGTAAAAAGTAAGTAATATGTAGAATAAAAGTAGATTTCTCTAATAGGATAGATTCTTTTAAATTACTTGTATAGGTTAAACATCACTTTGACATTGTTGGGGAATGAGATACTATGTGTGAGAGCCCTGAATAAGGAAGGCACAGTTTTGTAAATCAGATGGAGTTTATGGCCTGTGCTCTAAATACTTACACAAGAACTGCAGTGCAAAGCCATTTAAAGGGAACCACCTGAAGTGTCAGTAATATGCTTTACGAGTTCAGAAAAGTTGGAGTTTCTTTTCTTGACCACCCGCTCAGTCTAAGCTGACAGCAGATGGAACAAAGGTATAGAGATGCTAAGCAACCTATGTATTTGGGAATATTGGCCTTTTTTGTTGTGGGACAAACTGGAACAGGTGTGTGTGTTGGGGGGACTTTAGGAGCAGAGATAGGGAATGTAAATAAAGGTGGATTTTATACAACCGGTCTCCAGATAGTCCTGTAAAGAAGTGGGGAGCCACAGATGGCTTTTTAGCGGGATCATGGCATGATTTTAGATTTCTTGTTGAGAACATTAAGTGACAGTTGGGAAGGATGGGTTGGAGGGTACAACAGGGAGGTTCAAGGTGATTTGGAGCATCTAAAAAGTATAGTTAGCACAAGACCATAATTGGGCTTATCTCCGGTGTACTGTTAGGAGAAGGCAATGGCATCCCACTCCAGTACTCTTCCTGGAGAATCCCATGGATGGAGGAGCCTGGTGGGCTGCAGTCCATGGGGTCGCGAAGAGTAAGACACGACTGAGAGACTTCACTTTCATGCATTGAAGAAGGAAATGGCAACCGACTCCAGTGTTCTTGCCTAGAGAATCCCAGGGATGGGGGAGCCTGATGGGCTGCTGTCTATGGGGTCGCACAGAGTCGGACACGACTGACAAGACTTAGCAGCAGCAGCAGCAGAGTATGCTGTTAATCCTCTGATCCCTGTGAAGGGTGCTTCTTGAAGCACAAGTCTGTAGTATATAGTATTAATAGAGTTGTATCATGTATCAGCCTTGTGACCAACAGAGGATGAGGGTCTTAAGTTGAAGATACTGAAAGTGAAGAAGAGGGTCCAAGAGAATTTTGTAAGTGATAGGATCCAACCTACTGGGGTTGGAGTTTTGTGGAATAATAATTATAGATGGTTTGTGTTTTACCATCTGAGCTACCAGGGAAGCCCACTGATGTTTAAGATTGATCTTCACATTAAGTAGTGATAATTTGGGCAGCACTTTTTTCTCCCACCTTTTCCTCATTAAGGCTACCTTACACATCTTTCTCCACCCCTAATCGGAGCTTTGTTATCTATTTTGGACTATATAGAATTATTATATATTATTATATATATTATATATAGTATATATATTATATATTACTATATATTAGAATTATTTCTGAAACAAAGGAATTTTTCCTGTGAGGTGAGGTACTTTGAGAAAAGGGTATATGGGCTTTAAATATATTTAAAGTAGAGGGCTCTTAATATGTGTCAAAGTTAACTCATTTGTTATATTCCATATTTAATTTTCTAGATAAATTAGCTTATGGTATATTAAATTTCATATAATTTTATAATATCACAGCAGTTTAGTCCTGTAATGTATGTGCTAAAACATTTTGTTATAGAAAAGTTTAAACATACCCCAAAATAGTAGAGTATAACAAACCCCAGTGTACCCACCAACATTTTCCTGGTCTTGTTTCATCTGTTTTCCTCTCTGCCCTTTTACTTATTTGTTTATTTTAACTAGATAAGACTTTATTATTATTATTACAACTTCACAGCCATTATTACATCACACAGTCATCTTTATCCCAACTTAGCACCATCTAATACAATACCCAGTCTGGATTCAGATTTCCCTTTTTGTTTTGAAAAAGACTTACAGTTGGATTGTTTGAATCAGATTTTATACAAGTCTTGTAGTTATTTTTAAAGTTGATGTTTTTTAAAGAGAAAATTAAGGCAGTGTGAAAACATTTTAGTATAAGGTATTCTAAGAGAGCAGTGCTGTTTTGACAGTCATTCTGTCTGGAACTTAGTTTTGTAGAAGGAGGTGTCAAAATAGCTGGTATTTTTATGATTTTGAACATAGGAAGTCTTTCCAAAGTGGGAAAAGTGGGTGTGACCCCACTTATCTAGAAGCCTAGAGTGAAAATGCAAGCAGATTTGAGAAGGTTCAGGTTTGGAGGAACACCACATCTCTGTGAGGGATGTGGGATTTGGGACTGTTTTTGTAACTACCTGTGTAATGTTACAGTATATTTTATCTCCCTGGATATACTGTCCTTATCTATAAAATAAGGAGTGGATGATTTCTTTTTTTCCTCAAATTTTTATTGAAGTATAGTTGCTTTACAATGTTGTGAAGAATGGGTGACTTCCTACATTCCTTTAGAGTTCTTATTTTTGTGTGTTTTATTTTTTTTTATTTTTTATTTTTTTAGTTTATTTATTTATTTATTTATTTTATCACAAGTGTGTTTTATTTTATATTTATGCTTGATTTCAACAGGATTCTCAGAGTTGGATTGGTGGGAACAATGAACCATTGACTGGCTTTACATGGCGAGGTGGTTGTGAAAGAGAAACTACAGGCATACAAGTCTGGAATGAAGTATTTGTGATCGAGAGACCTAATGGAACAAAAGTAAAATTCTTCTTATAGTTTTTTTTTTTTTTTTTTTACTATTTTTTCTTCCATATTTTTTGAGCAAAACAACACAGAACTCTTATTATTTGATAACTTAAACCTGGATTATGTCAAAATGTGTGAGATATGTACTTTTCTTGACTTAATTACTGATTTTTATAGTAACCATTTTATATTTGACTTTTATAAATCACTGTTGGTGAGTTTTTACTTAGTATTTCAAACTTTTAAATTCCTAGGTGGCTGTGCTGCTAATGGATACCCAGGGTGCCTTTGATAGCCAGTCAACTATCAAGGATTGTGCCACAGTGTTTGCTCTGAGCACTATGACTAGTTCTGTTCAGGTGAGACACAGGGATGCTCCAGCATAATCAGTTCACATAACTCTAATACCTTTGCTCTTCCTCAGAATGCCATTTGATTGAAGAAAAGAAGGATTAAAATTAGAGAAACTGTTTACATTTCTTATTGCTCACTTACGTTTCTGTGCTTGCTGTCCTGGCTTACAATGTGAGATTTCGTACTTTTAAGTGCTTACCAGGGAAGCAGTGAACTGATAGCCATTGCCTTTGGTTTTTTGTTGTAGCATCAATGCTTTTTTTTTTTAAAGAATATATATTATTGTATGTTATGCTTAATTGAATTCAATGATATGCAGTTGATACTGTGGCTGCCAGATACAGTAAAATGTAGAGTATATTTTTATTTTTTGACTAAATCAACCAAACAGCAAAACCAAGTAATTAAACTTAGTTTTCTACTCAATGTGCGTGGCAACTGGTACTTGATTATTTGAATGAATGGAGGTAGAGGCATAATAATTAATTTATATTTAATTTAGGAAACCTAAGTGATGTTTATATAATCTAGGATAGCACCTGTTTCACTTAGAAAGGAGTAAAATTCTTTTATTTTTTTCACTTATGCTATACCCTAGTTATGTTTGGTGTTGTGTCAAGTTCTAGTCTCTTTGAGCTAGGCCATCTTTTTCCTGTATAATTTAGACTGATTGGACGGAATTAAACCACCACAGGTCATTTTGTGTTTTTCTACTTTGCCTTTTATGAACTTATCTGTGGTTGATACTTCTATGGCTGAAAAAAGAATTACTGAAGTATGGTGGTTAGGTCCAGCTGGTGATGATGTTTCAAGATACATATTTGCAAATATTTTAAAAAGTATATGTTTCTCCTGAGATAAGAAATATTTCTTACTGATGACAGATTATAGACGATACTGTCACAGTGTCTTGGTTTTTGTGCTTTCCATTAGCATCTGGAATGTATGACTAGTCTCGGTTAAAGTTCCCTTCTCCTTCCTTAGTTCAAAGTATCTAGCTGTCAGTGGAAACAACTTTTGGATATTATTTTGAGATAAAAGAGAAGGGGCTTCTTTTTATTATAGAGATGGAGATATCTGTCTCTACAAACTAAATGATGTTATTTGGGGCCCTCAGAATCTCTCTTTTCCAATTTGTTCTACTTTTTTTCCCTCTGATCTTACAGGTGGCACAACTGCCATTTTCCTGAGGCAACCAGAAGCCACATCTTTATGTTTGTATTATCACATTATAGCCCTTCAGATTAGCTGACTCTCTGGCTTGCTTTAAATTATAAGCTCTCTGTCCTAAAACTTAACACCGTGGTGTTCTGTTGTTTATTTAACTTTATGATAGTGAGAGGCCTAATTTTGGACAACTTAAAGCCACTTTAAGTTGTAAATGAGAATTCTTACTGTGCTTAATTGTCTCATGTGCTTTTGGGTACAGTCAGAAATGAAATTCAAATGCGATAATGCATAACAAAGCACTTTGTAAACTAAATAATCAAAAATAATTTTTTGTTGTTTTTAAGGCCACGCTGACCGGCATGTGGGATCTTAGTTCCTTAACCAGGGATCGAACCCATTCCCCCTACCTTGGGAGCATAGAGTCTTAATCACTGAACTTGCAGGGAAGTCCCTGAAATTGTTTTTTATTACTGCTTCTTTCCTGATTCTTGAGGCCAGATTTCTGTCGTTCCTTATTACATAAGTTATATGATTGATAGGCTAATGACAGATTGATCCCTTTGTCATTTATTTTTTAAAAAAAATAATTGTTGAGCATCTTGTTAAGTATAGTGTGGTATGCTAAGTACAGCATGGTATACTAAGTACTAATGATGTACAGTAAACAGATCTTTTCTCTTTGCTGTTTATAACCTGGCCCTGACAATGAAAGGATCTGGGCCTATCTTCTAAATGCCAAGGCCCATATCAGTGAGAATAGGTTGGTTATGCTCTCAGTTTTTAAGTTTAAATAGAGTTTAATCACCTCAATCATTAATTCCTTTTTAAATACCTGTTTGGAATTAGCTGAGAAAACCATTTTAAGTTTGTTGGCTTATAGTGGCTGTTTATTTTCGTGACCTCCAAGTGATTAAGTTGGATCGTCAGTTTCTTGCGGTTAGAATAGATTGTTCTATATTTGGAGTAACCCTATTTTCTTAGATATGTTATTTCTTAGCAGAGGCTGCAACTATGGACACCTACTACTTTTCTCCTTTGGTGGCCTAGGTGATCTCTTAAAAGATCTGATTCAGAAGGACTGGACCTAGTGAATCTTCTCTCCAGTTTCTCTTTCTTGCGAGTACTTGAGTGAGTGATAGTCACTCAGTTGTGTCTGACCCTTTGTGACCCCATGGTCTGTAGCCTGCCAGGTTCCTCTGTCCATGGAATTCTCCAGGCAAGAATACTGGAGAGGGTTGCCATTTCCTTCTCCAAATGCCCTTCATGCCCCTCTCACAAAAAGGAGCAATCCCTAATGATGGAATTTTGGGGCACTGGGGTGCTGCCTGCATCCACTCAGAAGCCTGCATGGTGGGTAGGTGGTCAAGTCTGACTGTTCATTCTCTTCTCTAAGCACAGCTCCAGTCCCAAGACACATCCCTTTAATTCCCACTGGCCAGTGGCACTTTCCAGAATTTTCACAAAGCCTCTAAAATTCTGCATGGATGAGGTACTTGCTGCTCCATTCTCGGGTTTAATGGTTTCAGAAGGTACCCTGAGTGAGGCTCCACAGATATTAGGTCTCAAACCCAGTTCTTCTCAGCTTTCTCCTGCCTCCACCCAAACCGTTCCACTTCCAGAATGCCAGGTCACATTGGTCCATCTCTCAATGGACTGCTGAACGCGCCTTCCCCAGACTTGGGGACTGAGGAGAGAAAAGGGGTCAGGAGCCATGAGTTCTCCATGTTTTTCAGCAAACAGAATTCTGGACCCAAACTGGACCCAAAGGATCTCAGTTTTACCCATGGACAATACAAAGTTAGGGTCAGATGCTCCTTCAGTGCTCCTTCTAGTTCTAAAATTTTGTTTTTGATAACTGTATTTTTCACATTCCTTCAAAAATATGTGCAAAAACATTAGTAATTTTCAAATAAAGAAGCTATAAAAATGTATAATATAATTCTTTTGAAAAGCTACTTTTCAAATATAATCAATTAGTATTTAAATTAAGTTTTTTAGATTTTTTTTGATATATTGGGGTTTCTTTCAAACAGGCAGAAAAAATCCAACCAAAGACACATACTTCAGAAATTATAAGACCTTCCCTGGTGGCTCATATGGTAAAGAATCTGCCTGCAGTGCAGGAAATTCGGATTCAATCTCTGGGTTAAGAAGATCCCCTGGAGAGGACATGGCCATCCACTCCAGTATTCTTGCCTGGAGAATCCCATGAACAGAAGAGCCTGGCAGCTTCAGTCCATAAGATCACACAGAATTGGACACGACTGAAGTGGCTTAGCATACAAGAAATTATATGTCATTGTATTCAGTTTGAAAACTTAGCCTATTTGATATTTATACTTACTTACCTAACTTACCAGCAGCAGCTCTGGTCTGTGTGGCTTGGAAAGACTGCTACAAATTTGTGAAAAGGGCAAGAGTGCCACCTACTGGTGTGTGTGTGTGTGTGTGTGTGTGTGTGTGTGTGTGTGTGTGTGTGTGTGTGTGTGTGTGTGTGTGTGTGTGTGTGTGTGTGTGTGTGTGTGTGTGTGTGTGTGTGTGTGTGTGTGTGTGTGTGTGTGTGTGTGTGTGTGTTTAAACAGCTACTGCAGTCTGGTAAAATTTTCATTATTTAGACTGAGTTTGCGTAAGTAAAAAGATTTAGAGTCAATGGTAGCTGAGGCACCCATGAGTAACTATAAACTATATATTGTGAATGCTCCAAGGGGGAAGTTTGATCTTTGTAGAACTATGCCCTTCACATTCATTGACTTAGAAAAATAGTTGGGGAAACCCTATACTTAAAAAAAAAAAAACCATGCTGTAACATTAAAGAAACTTACTACATAAGTGTAAGTATGTAAACATACAACATAAGTGTAAGTATACTACATATACTTTAAAAAAAATGTCTGCTGCTTTCTTGGCCCCATATGCATGTATTCATGATTTTTACATAGTTTACCACTACTGCTCCTCCCTTAATGTTTTATAGTTAGGGAAAAAGAAATCCTTTTCATGGACCACCAGTTAAGATAATGACTGAGTCATTCATATGTGTTCAGGTATAAAATAGCCTTCATTTCCATAAGTAAAGTTATACACAGCTGGGTATTAAAACTAAAGCCTAATGAAAACCAAATTCTTTTTTAACAGGTATATAATTTGTCTCAAAATATTCAGGAAGATGATCTTCAACACTTGCAAGTATGTATGTCTCAAAGAATGTGTGCCAAAGTATTGAAAATTTAATTCCTACTTTATTGTTACTTTACACCAAGAATCTATAATATTGTAAGAAGATTGACTATTATATGATTTTAAACAGATATATGACTTAACTAAAATAAATTTTAATGTATACTTGGTCTTAAAAAATTAAATACTTGGCTTTCAAGTGATTTTAAAGGCCCTGACATCTAGTGGTCTGATATAGAACAGCTTTACAGATGTCTTCTTTCAACGTCTTTGGGGGCATTATTTTAAATAATTTGATTTGATAGTTATTTACAGAATACGGCAGACTTGCAATGGAAGAAATCTACCAGAAACCATTTCAGGTAAATTAAGTATTTTATCATTAAAAGAAATTAATCTGTGAAAAACTGTCATCTTGTATATCTGAAGACATAAGGACATTATGTCAAACTCATTTTTAGCAGCAGATCCAGCAGAATTGAAACTAATTTATGGTAGAGTCATCACCAACTTAACAGTAGCAATTTACAAGATAGGAAATAGAAACTGATTATAGATTGATTCTTAGAATTTTTACTTAAAGAAGTTAATAACATTTCTCTTAATTAGGTGTTAATTCCCAGACTTGAGATAGTCATGTAAACTTCTTGTATACATCATAAACTACTGCAACATATTATTGGTTGTGTGTGTGTGGTGGGCGGGGGGTAGTATATTACAAGTTGAAATTAGACCTGTTACTGTTCATTTTTGATTCATAGAAAAGTTTCAGAATTTATTATGTCTCTCTCCCATGTTTTTTCATTACCTTTAAATGCTAGGTGCAGAATATTAAGTCAGAAATTAATGTGGGTGGAGTTATTTGAGAAGCATATGCTCTGCTTGCTTCTTTGGAGTCTTAAAAAAAAAAACAAAGCTAATTTAAATTAAAAAAAAAAACTAATTTCAGATAGTTTGAGTTGACATAGTTTAGCTTGGTTAGTTGTGTCACAGTAGGTGAGAGTGACTCCATCCTGTTTGCTCATCGGTGTAAAGTCTTCCCTTATACGAGAGCATCCCTGGTGGTTCTTAGTGGTTTACACTTGATTCAGTCTCAGTCTTGTCTGGCTCAAGTGATCACTTTTATGAAATATTTAGACAGGTTACGGTGTCATTTTTTGTATATTATAAAATGTACTCTATTTGGCCTATATCTGTTTTTTCTGAACTGGGGTAATTTTGCCACCCAGAGGGCATTTGCTGATATTTGGAGACTTTTTAGGTTGTCACAGTTTTGGGGAGGAAGTTAATACCATTGGTATCTAGTTTTAGAGACCAGATGTGCTGTTCAACATCCTCTAATACATAGGACAAGTGTGCACAGCTAAGAATTATCTGACCCAAAGCATCAGTAATGCTGAGTTGAGGAACCTAAGCATGTAAGAATAAAAAATTCTGTGAATTATTTGGTCTTCTAATTACACAATCTTGGCTTACAATTATGATCTGTATACCCTGATAGGTCTTTTGTTTCTTCTTAAAAATTGCTGTGTTATTGCTTGTGGTGACCATATATACAGTAAGTTTCTCAAGTGGATGTAGATTCTTGGTATAAGAGTTGGGAGTGTTACTGGTTTATGTAGTAGGCTCTTGATATAACTGTTGAGTAGTAGTAAACCATTTGGTTGCTCTAACTTTTGATAAGGATTGTTTCTGGGGAGTAAGGGACACTTCAGTTGTTAAGGTAGTAATTTTTGGTAAAATTTTATAAGAAAGGGTTCTATGTTTCTCCTTTTTTCTGTAGACATTAATGTTTTTGATTCGAGACTGGAGTTATCCTTATGAACATTCATATGGTTTGGAAGGTGGCAAACAATTCCTTGAAAAGAGATTGCAGGTAAGTCCCTATTTCTGAGAGAGGAGAGCATAAGCACCAAGTCAGGTGAAGGAGTGGGCTGCCTGGACTGCTGCTTAGACCACCAATATCTAAGTATCATTGGGACAAATCGAGTATCCCTGGTTAACCTAGGTAACCCCATACATAATTGATGAGATGTAAATTGGTAGCACTTCTGCAAAAGAGGACAGTAGAAATGCCCTTGAATAGAAATTAAGGAACAGATATTTCTCTCCAGAGACGTATTGAAGGAACATTTCAATAAATCAATATTCACAGGATAAGAGTTTGAAGTAGACTAACCTTTTGATCTCTTCAGATTGCATGCATGTCTCTTTCTAGCCCAGCTGAACATTTGAGACAGGCTGGATGATCTAGTGTGCATGCATTGAACACATGGATGTGAGACTTTCTTTTCAAGGAATGTTGTCTCATAGAGTGGCAGCATATAGAGAGCTAGAAAAGGGATCTTAAACATTTTATCTAGTATATCATTTATACACACACACACCTTAAAACTGGGACCCAGAAAAGTGACTTGCCTTTGGTCATTTAACACATTATTGGTAACTGTAATTGGACCCAAATATCCAGACTCCTGTTCTGACCCATGCAAAATGCCACACCAAGGCAGTGCTGGAAAATAAATTCACCACCATGATCCTTTATTCCTAGAGGTATCCTCCTGTGGAAACCCTCAGGTCAAATACTACCCACCAGTGACATCCACAGAAGATATATAAAAATCCCTTTATTCATAAATAGAGGTTTCTTTCTTTGGGGTAATAAACTTTTGTTTGTTCCCTGTGGAAGGATGCATTTACTTTTGCAACCATATTCAAAGACTGAGGATATAATATAATTTTTCTTAATCCTAGACTGAGATTAAAACCAAATCCTTATTCTTTTTTTTTTTTCCATTTATTTTTATTAGTTGTAGGCTAATTACTTTACCAAATCCTTATTCTTAGATCATATGAAAGGCATTTTGAGATTGTCAAGGATTTTCATTCATCTTTGGTTTGTTTGGAAGAAATTAACACGAAGTACTTTAGGCATACTAACTAAATTCAGAATTATGGACTTCAAAGACAAAGGGTTTTTTAAATACATTATTAAAGTGATACAGAAAAGTTCACAGACCATAAGTATGCATGCACCTTGATGAATTTGTGCAAATTGAACATAGCCATATAATGACCCAGAAGCACCCACCTCTGTCTACTAACTCCCCCTCGTCCCCAAACCCTTCATTGCTGTTCAGACCTTCAAGAGGCTTTGTTTTTGGGCTTTTAATGAAAGGAATCACATGCACAGTATGTATTCTTTTGTGTCCAGTTTCTTTTGCCCAGTATTACATTTCTGAGTTTAGTTCATATTGTTGCATGTAGTTTAGTTCACTTATTCTTATTGATATGCAGTATTCCATTGTAAGAATAATAATAGTTTTTCCATTCTACTCTCAGTGGAGATTTGGGTAGTTTCCAGGTTTTGTTGATTACTGATAGTACATGTATTTTAGAATGGTTTTTGAGACGAGTTTAGGAGGGAGTATGTGAATTATATTGGGATAAGTAGTTATTAAAAATCTAACTTTAGTATATTCTTCCAGAAAATACATAGCAGTTTCTCTTTTGCAAAAACTGATGACTAGCATATGTCATAAACAATCATTTGGAATGAGTGCACTAATCTTATGGTTTTTTGGAATTTTTAAAATTCTTTAAACTGCACTGGTGATTTTCACCTTATCTGTTGTTTTGCCCAAGGACTGACCTTATTATTTGTAGGCAGATTAGTACTTTGTTTTTTTCTTTGCCATTATAAGTACTTTAAAGACAGGTTTATAAATCACAGTCAGACCTGTTGTTCTGGTGTTAGATGTTATGCTTAATTATTATTTGTATTTATTCATATCCTTGGTAGCTAATGGGCTTCCCTTGTGACTCAGCTGGTGAAGAATCCGCCTGCAATGCGGGAGACATGGGTGATTCCTGGGTTGGGAAGATGCCCTGGAGAAGGGAAAGGCTACCCACTCCAATATTCTGTCTAGAGAATTCCAGGGACTGTATAATCCATGGGGTCGCAGAGTCAGACTCGACTGAGGACTTTCACTTTCACTTTGATAGCTAACAGGAGAAAAAAGAAACCTCTTGGTTTAGGAGAGGAGGTGGGTCTTACCAAATGGTTAGAAATGGGTGTTCAATAAAATTTTACATTGTCAAAAAACACCCATCTGGAGTAGCATTTGAATTACTGTGCATGCCTGTGAGTATGTGTGTGTACTTTTTAAAAGAAAATTTGTTTTTCTCTTGTTTGCTCCTTTACCCTGTCTCTTTCTACCTCCAGGTAAAACAGAATCAACATGAAGAGCTGCAGAATGTAAGGAAGCACATTCACAATTGTTTCTCAAATCTTGGTTGCTTCCTTTTGCCACATCCTGGTCTTAAAGTTGCAACTAATCCTAGTTTTGATGGGAGATTGAAAGGTGGGAATTCCCATTCTTGCTAAAATCAGAACTCAAGTTTTAGAGACAGAAAGTTAAAAAAATAACATATATATATATATATATATATATATATGGTTCCTTAAAATTTCTCTCTTATAGTGGAGGATATTTCAGTGCATTGTTAATGAACTGATTGTAGTGCTCTGTGTGGTCTTTCTAGCTTTCCATTGGTTTGTTGCAAATGCCTAGCATATTGATTAACATATTTTTTAATGTCTGTTGCTCAGCACTGATAGGTCCTAAAAATACTGAAGACTAAGAACATTTCAGTATTTCATCTGATTGCAGTCTGCTAAAAAGCATTACCAATATATTGTATTGATATAATTAGATTTAAGTCTGTTTCAGGGTGATGGTATAATTTTCTGTGTATGTTTTAGGACTATTATGAGCATGATAGCAGGAGACTTGAGGATTAACAAAACTTTAACAGTGTGGCTAGAAAAACAAAATTTAGTTTTCATATTTAATACAGTTTCATGAATTGTCTGCCATTTGGAAAGGATAGTTTACTTAAAATACTTGATGTGGAATTTGTCTTGGTAGTTCACAGTTTTTTATTATTTGAGCTGACAGAATTATTGAAAGATGAAGAAAATGGGGTACTAGAGTTTGGGGGGGCATTATGTTTTTTCCTAGGAGATGTGTCAGTGTGACAGGTTTGGATGAGTTTTTTGAAATGAATCTATACTTAAGTATCATACTCCTGTTTTATAAAACAGAATTTCATTAACTCTTACCAATGGTGACTTTATTTCTTTTTTTTTCAACTAACATGTTGACTAATTTCATGCCCACCAGATATTGATGAAGAGTTTAAAAGAGAGCTTCGAAATCTGGTTCCATTGCTCCTTGCCCCAGAAAATTTGGTAGAAAAAGAGATAAGTGGATCTAAAGTCACTTGTAGAGATCTTGTAGAATACTTTAAGGTAGGAAAATGCTTACGTTAAATGACTTTGTGTAAGTTGGAAATATAGTTGACTTAAAACTCATCTGTATGTTATAAAATTTCTTATCTGTATTTTAAAGCAATGAAGTAAAATTTATAATTTATTTTTTTGCCTTGAATTGGATGTATCAATATTTTAGAATATTTAAGATTGTAGCAGACAACAATGTATCTTCTACAGAGTGATTTTATTTGTTTGTACAGTTATCCTACTTTTTCTCCAGCTCTGATATGCAGAGAAGAACCATTCATAATATTATGATACCACTCTATCATTTGAAAATGATAATAGATATTGGGAGCATAATTCTGCATCTTGAGTTCTCATAAAAAACCTTCTCTCAGAGTCTGAGTACTTGATGAGAGCCTTTGAAAGTTATCAAAACTGGGTTCTGAACTCAAGTAAATTATTTATAGATTTTTTTTCCCCCCTCTGCTCTCTAGTCTTTATAGCTTGCTTGCCAGAGCAAGGCCACTGTTGAGGGTTGTAATTATTTGTAGTAGTTGTAGATGTATGGGGAAACACAGTTAATGAAAGAGTGTATTTTTGTGTTATTTAATGGACACTTGATCACCTTCATACTATCTTTGTTTAGTTATGAAATAATTTAAGAGTCAGGTGAAAGTTGAGGTGAAAGATTCCTATGTGGAACTTACTTAAAAATTTTCATCTTTCTTACTCTTAAACCACAAATTTGGTAATTTTTTTTGCCCTTGAACTGAAATATACTTTAATCTGATCAAAGTAAAATACTGAGTTAAAATGTTTTGTTCCATATTTATTTGAAACATTGGTAGTTTGGCAGTAGGAGAGAATTGTGGATTTCTTTTCATAGAGTAGATGGCATTTTATATATAACTGTAAATATGAAACAGCTTTTCTGCCAAGTTGAGAGTTATATTTAGAGACATTTCTCTAGGATATTATTTAGCAACACACATTTTTAATAATGTTGAGAATAGGGTTAACTTTGTTGGAGTGAGAGTATATGATTTTTAAAGCTTAGGCTTTCCTTTTAATAGTGTGAATCATTTTTCTATCTAATGATTTTTCTTTGGGGATATGGAGCCAAATTGTATAACCTATCAATATAATGAGTCTTCTGTATTTTTAGGCTTACATCAAAATTTATCAAGGAGAGGAACTTCCACATCCAAAGTCCATGCTTCAGGTAGTGTGTGCGTTGTATATACATTTATTTATGAGGGAGAAAAAAAATCTGCTTTAGAGAGAAATGCTGGAAATGGGGTGGTGCTTCTTTGCATGCAAATACATTTTAGATACTTAAGGCATGGGTCCTGAAGTTTTTGGGTTTTTGTAACTACAGTTGCAGACCTTGTACACACAGTACCTTCATAGAGATGAAGGCCCTTGGTGCTTTTTCTTCAGTTGCTCAAGAAGTGTAGGATAATACGGGTTTGAAGTGCTTTATGTAGGAAAATTTCTGTTTCAGAAGATAGCTTAATGTGGGCCTTGCCGAACCAAGCTGCTTCTGTTCTCTGGGTCTTTGACAATGAATGTTGTTTGAAATAGGCTTATTTTCTCTTTATTTTAATGAGTGACAGCTACTTCTAGTGACTATAGTTTTTTCTTTCTTTCTTTCTTTTTTTTTTTTTTAAAAGGTATTCCTCAGGGACAATGTTATTTTAACCTGTTTGATTTTTTAAAAATTTGCTACTTTGGGCAATTTCCCAGTTTTATAGTGGATTAATCTGTTTTTTCATAAAATCCATGTAGTAAATTGTGGATTTAAAAATGTATCCTGTGTCATGCTGATTATGTACATAATTTATTGTCTTAATCAGCATTTATAGTCAAAAGATAGTTCACATAAAGTTGGCACATTTTATTTTATTTTTTAGGCGACAGCTGAAGCTAATAATCTTGCTGCAGTAGCAGGAGCAAGAGAGATCTATTGCAAAAGTATGGAGCAGGTTTGTGACTAACATTTATATTAGACACTAGAGTGAGAAGATTTCTATATTTAAAATCATCAAACCAATTCGTACTCCTTGTACCTTGTCATGTTACATCATTCCCAAATTTTCTTTTATCATCTCTACTGAAAATAAGATTATAATTTCCATCTTTAGAGTGCAGGATGAGAGTAGTAAGTTACTACATAGACCGCACTAAAATATTTTTTGACACATGATTCAGAGTGCTATTATCAGTAGCTTCTGATGTTAGTAACATTGTCCTAAGGCCAATAGCAATTTCTGTGCTAAGCTTGCTAATTCAAATATTCAAGTACCTTTTTTATGTGTTACACCTCTTAACCCAACCCACTTTCTTACCAGCAGTCTTTTTTGGTGTATTGCTGGGTCAGCTGACATCAATACAGATTGTAGTGTAATTCTTTTTGTCCTTATCGGTATATAGTTAATTGGGAAAATTTATTTTGCCTGAGTCAGTTAAATAGATAAGAAATGTGTAGATTATGATGATGTGTGGAGTATTACAAACAAATTTAAAACTAAATCATGTAGGTGGTTTAACTTAACTGATTGGGGAATTTCTTTCAAGTCTGACTTATTTCCAGCTTGTAATCTGTCCTACTGTCTGTACAGGTATGTGGTGGGGACAAGCCTTACATTGCACCTTCAGATCTGGAGCGAAAACACCTGGATCTTAAGGAAGTGGCAATTAAACAGTTTCGTTCAGTGAAAAAAATGGGTGGAGATGAATTCTGCCGTCGTTATCAGGACCAGCTTGAGGCTGAAATTGAAGAAACCTATGCAAATTTTATAAAGCACAATGATGGCAAAAATATCTTCTATGCTGCTCGTACCCCTGCCACACTGTTTGCGGTCATGTTTGCTATGTATATAATCTCAGGACTGACTGGCTTCGTTGGCCTAAACTCTATAGCCGTCTTGTGTAACCTCGTCATGGGGTTAGCGCTGACGTCTCTTTGTACTTGGGCATATGTTAAATACTCTGGGGAGTTCAGAGAAATTGGAACAATGATTGATCAGATTGCTGAAACACTATGGGAACAGGTTGGTATCTATCTTTTGGGTTTTCAGTGACTAATCTTATCCTTGTGGCTCCCCACCTCTCCTTCAGTCCCCCATTCCCCACCCTCACCCCCAATATTTCCACACTTACTTTTTCTTTATATGGAGAATGGCAAAAGGATATTTTCTGTTTTGTTTAGATGCATAATCTGAATATAATGTATAAACTGAAGAGTTTCTTTTTCCTTTAAAGTTATAATGTGCTTTGGTTGACTTATATATCTGTAATACTCTGGATAGTTTCTTAGTTATAGGCCTGATTATACCAGACAAGTGGGCAGGACCAGAGTCTAAGGATTTTTCCCTTTTTTTTTTTTTTGAGATAAGAAATTATCAGTGCAAGAGTTATGAAGGTATTAGGAAGTAAGTTTGGAAGTGCTGTTCTTTTGAAGTTTCTTACTAGGATTGATAAGCAATGCATGCTTATATTTCAGGAAAAATGGGTGATATTCAGGTCTTCATTGCCTTCCATGAAGATAGTAGTGGTTTACTGATGTACTTACTACAGAGAACAATCTTATAGGGAATTCTTACAGCAAATAATCTTTGACTTCTGTACTATGGAAATGCTAATGAGCAAAGCAAAATACTACAGTGAGCCAGCTTTTCTTAATCATAATCTGTTGCCTCAACCAGAATTCAAATCAGGATTTTTTACCTCAAACCAGAATTCAAAGTTGGGCCTGAGAAGTATGTACTAAGGAAAGCCTTCTTGTGTATCAGCCAGCTGTTGTCTGGAATTGCCTGTGTTCAGAAAATCTCACTTAAGGATATTGTCATTAAAATGGTCATCGTGAAATACCTGAGCATCATATCAAGAATGAAAGCTACAGTTATTACTGATGGACAATATAAAAGGCGTTTTCAGATTCCATTTCTGGGCCAATGAAGTATTGGGCTTATTTGAAGATTTAAGATTTAAGAGAATGTGGGTCCATGCTGGTTTTGGTTTTAAAGTCAAAGACTGAAGAAGTTGATTGATGCTGATTTTTCTTTTTTTTAAATTTTTTTATTTTTCTACTAATAATGTTATTATTTTATACAGTGACCCACTATATTAATTTGCATTTTATATTTCTTTAGAGAAATGCTCTGTTCAGATCTGATTTGGAAGCTTCTGTCTGGATATTTATTAAGTTTTTATATCTTAAAAAAAGTTCATTCTTTATATTCCTCTGATATGTTCTGTTAGAAGATGGATTAAAAGCTATCACAACCTAAAAAAAAAAGCGATCACAGCATCACTTAAAATATTATCTACTTTAAAAGTGTTGAATCATTATTAATTTTCTGCCACATGGAATTTCGATAATTGTACAGTGTCTTCTGAAAATCAGTCATCTCCAGCACAGCACTGTTTCTAGGATTTTAGAGGTGCCACTATCACAAAACAAGTCAATGGAAGAATCTAAAGTGTGTACAATTATTTTTAGTATAGTTGAGGTAAGATGATCACTAGGCGGAAGGTCTGTGCAGTGTCAACAAACCTTGTCTAAATTTTTTTGCATTTCTTTTTTCTTTTGCTTCAGAGGAGTCCCAGGAAGGTGAGAAACTATGAAGTCTCAAATTTTTGTAGTCTTAAGTAAACTCTTTATTTAAATTCAAGGCCCTCTGAGTCATGCTCCTAACAAATTACTCCATGTTTTAGGTGTTTTCCAAACTGTTCGAAGTTACTAGACGTCGAATGGTTCATCGTGTTCTTTCGTCAGCACAGCGACAGAGACTGTCATCCAACAATAACAAGAAGAAAAATTAGACAGTATTTTTAACTTTTTTCCCTATCTGAAGTGTTCACACTTATACATGTAGGACAATAAGCAGGACCGTCTGGGCCGGTCTGCATAAATGCTGTATACATACCAGATTTGATGCTGCATATAGGGTATGGAATTGCACATCCATCTCATAGGAATTGTAATGGTTTGAATAGGAGGAAAGTAATTTTTGTTACATTATAAATGTCTAACTGCATTATTTGTAGCATCATAACTTTGTTTTGGGAGAAGCATCTTTTTATTTCCCACATTCCTGGTTATTTTCTTCATTGCTTTGAATTGAATTTTTATATCTATTTTTATATGTAACTCTTTTTTTACCTCATGTTTTTATTTGTTTTGCACATTTCTCATACCACAGGTATTGAAGCCCCTGGGTGATAATTTGATGGAGGAAAACATAAGGCAGTCTGTAACAAACTCTATCAAAGCAGGCCTGACTGACCAGGTGTCTCATCATGCCAGATTAAAGACAGACTGACACTTCATCTCCTCATGGACTCCACTCTCCCTTTTTTTCATGCTTGCTGTACAATGAGAACTCAAATAAAAATAAACCAAAGTTTACAATCAACTGTAGAAGTAGTTTAGTATAACTGGCTTCACAGATGGCTGCCACAGAGTGTGAAATTGTTTGTTGGTTTTAAGCATTCTGTTCATGGCTCCTGAGACATGATGTTTGGCTGAGGAGCATTAGTTTATCATGCACACTGGTGCCATGTTTAATTCTTTTTTTTTTTCTTTGATGTTAGTGAAATTTGTCTTATGTAAAAGGATATTTCAGGGAAATATTTTAAGAAATCTATTTAGAGTCTTTTTAACACAGTGTCCCATTGAAATTTTAATTTTTAGAGAAGTTATGAATCACTGTAGCAAGATTCAGATTGGAATGACAATGAAGCCTTTATTGAGCCACGACATTAAAAGTATATATTGCTTTACTGCCTTCAATACCAGTATTACATAAATGCATGTATCAGAAATTTCACAGAAATTACACGACAACTCTTGTAGCTAAGAAAGTGATTCTGAAGTGTACATTTGTCTTGCCTTTTTAAATTTATAAACCTGCCCTAAAACGAGATGCATATCTGGGAATCTAAACTGTCTTTATGCAGTTTAGCCTTCATGTACATAAAATATGCCATTAATTTTATTGGGGGAGAAATTCCATCCAAAAATGTTGCCTACAGCTATGAGTTAAGAGTGTCTGTACAGTGTGTAGCTTTTATTTTCTAAAATCACAGATAGGGCATGTATATGAATTATAAATATATAAATACAATTTTGTATTAAAAGTTTTGTAGTTTATGGCAAAATCTGGTTCTGTGGTAGGCTAATGAGTACAGTCCCTGTGAAGGAATGTTTGTGGCTCATGTCAGTGTATGAATGCATAGACAATTTGAAGTTTTTGATATATTTGTGATATTTATCTTCCTGAGCACTGCAGTCTCACTCCCCACCCCACCCCCCACCCTTGAGGGAATTCAATGGGAATGTTTATCGTGACTTTGTCCTCTGTTGCATTTTAAAGTTATTTTCTGTAATTTATTTTCAGTACATAATTAAAAATTTGTTGCATATATAAAATGGAACTTGTGATTCTTTTTTAAGGAATTATTCAAATATGTATTCCATTACATAAACCTATTTGTTTATACTGAAAAGAGCATGAGTGAGGAACATCCATGTGAGAGCTGTAAGCTATTGTACCTCGAAGCTAAGCTTGTAAACAGTTATTTTTCTGTGTCTGTCTCCGTCAGGGAAAACTTGTGAGTAGCTAGGGGATTTATTAATTTTCGTTTCTGTCTCTTTTTTCTGGTATATGTAAGGCTAACATTTTGCAGTATTTTTGTAGCCTTCTCTGTGAACACCTGTTTAAAGCACCTAGTTTGGTTTTTAAGTGAAGAGAACTCAGATGTTGAGTTGCATGGCCGAAAGCTCAAAATTTACTTTGGTATATCTCTCCCCCCTCCTGCTTCAGATCCTGTTTTTATATGGATTGTGTTTGTTTCCATCTATTATTAAACTGCTACCAACTCATCTGTTCTTAAAGAGAATCCACCTGAAAAGTGTCTCATTTCTTTTACTATGTTTTATGAATGTTGTGGACTGTTTTTATGAATGGAAAATATAAAAAGTTTGTTGTATAATAGCAATTCTTCTGAAATTAAAGAGACACAGGTAACTGTTTTGTTTTTTTGTTTTTTTTTTTTTAAAAAAGAGTTGTGAAATCTAGACTGTTGGATTTCTTAATATTCCTTGTTGGAAAGAGTGTTTTCCCCAAAGATAAAATTCTATTAAGGATTCCAAGAAAGCACTTTGGTTTCAGCTGGAAGACTGAATATTGTTAAGCAAGAAGCAGTAAAAGGGATTAAAGACAAACTCGAACTGTTTACTGAAATAATTTTGGTGTTAGTATATTTTCTGTGGTATAATTTTTTAGTAATCTGTCTTCCTCATTAAGATATAAATAACTTACTTTTGTGGAAGAGATAGTAATTTGTGACCCAACTATTGACTATGCCTTATATATTTCTCATGAAAATAGTCATCCTTGCTTCACTAAGTATATTCTGCTTGTGAAGTGGAATAGCGGTAGTTTTTGAGAGTTTATATCATTTGGTGAACTTTGAGCAGGGCTCCCATTAGCCATTTTATTCCAGAACTGGGCGCTTGAGCAATTACTCTTGCTGTAGGTGTGACTGCTGCTGGAGTTTGGTACACTGTTTGATTGTTGCAGGGTTAAACATTTTTGGGGTGGACTTAACTTGGTTAAAAACTTATTGAGACTGTATCATAAAATTCCAGAAAGCACTATAACGTTACTGTTAATGGTTCATTAAGGTCAAAATGGGCTTATAGAAAGTTTTCAAGCAGTTGCTTAGTCTTTTGGCTTTCTGATTAGCTGTTTCTCTGCCACTATGGGTTGCCTGGGTTTGTTGCACACATTTTTAGGTTTCAGCAGTTTCATTCTTGGCGTGAGGCTTTTTTTCCCTACTTTGGCCAGAATTGCTCTGTGCACCTAAATGTTTTTCCATTTGTGTACTAGTTGTGAGGTGATGGTGAACGTCGGCTTGGAAGAGCTGGCAGCTGTTTCTGGCAGCCATCTACTTGGCCAGAATTTACTCATCAAATGACTGTCTTGGATTCAGCTGGAGCCTCTGTCAGAAAGGGAACTTAACTTTGGGGAATACTTGACTTTTGTCAAACAAAGCTACATGAGGGCTTTCTCATGCAGGACAGAGAAATGCCACCTTCTCTACCTAAATCTTTTACTAGATTTTAGGAATTTCTCCTCTCCAGACTTGCAGTTTGCTGAAACTGAGGATGAGGAATTGATCTACCCTTGACATACTTGAGGGCAATACAGCTCCTGTTACCATTCTTCAGTGAAAGCTAGGAGATGACCAGGTCAAAAGTGCCTGAAGAGGAGTGTAAAAGAAGCTTAGGAGAAGGGGGAATCACAGTCTTCATATAGTCAATCAAGCATTTGCACATACATTAGTACTTTTTGTTCAACTGTCGTGTGGTAGGAAACCACTTAAAAAAAGCTGTCTCGGGTGTCTCAGGCTTGCAAACCAGGATTCTGCCACTCCACAGCAGGGGTTTGAGTCAGTGGAAAGTTTCAGACAGACGAGTGATAATCATAACTCAAAACTGCCTTAGCTGCATTTTAAAATTACTAAAGGTGAAGAAGAGAGATTTTGTTAATACTGAAGCAAGGTGAAAATGACCCATAATGCTACATTTAAAAAGTGGTATTAAGCAAGTAGTGGAAATCTCCCTGTCCTTTTGATTGTATGTGCCAGAGGTAACCATATATTTGGTGTGTGTGCTATGGAAAACTTCCCCTGTGCTTACAGACAAATCTTTATGTGTATGCAAAAACATGGTTTTTATTTTACACAAAAATAGAATTATCCTGTACATTATACATTTTTCCCATACAACACTGACATTTTCTTGGGCTGTTAAGTAATTCTTCAATGCTCATGCAGTTACCTTGCCCCTTCTGAGGGTAGATGGGGTTTTGAGGAGAGAGCCCAGACCTTGGACCTTACTTTTTGTGCTGTTCTCCCCACTATCACAGGATGGGTGAGAGAATCAAGATAACGTGGAGGGTGCTTGGAAAGCAGGTACTGTAGAAAATTTGTACTCAGTTTTGTTTGGCCTGCGGCTCCATCTGCTGGCTCTATTTGGCCAATTGACTAGTAACTACTTCCTGAAGCTTGTCCATACTTTGATGGGGTGTGGGGGTCATCTGGACTGTGATTTGTGTGTGTGCTCAGTCGTGTCTGACTCTATGCAACCCCATGGATTGTAGGCCACCAGCCTCTTTTGTCCATGGGATTTCCAGGCAAGAATACTGGAGTGGGTTGCCATTTCCTTCTCCAGGGGATCTTCCAACTCAGGGATTGAACCCAAATTTTCCTGCATTGGCAGGCAGATTTTTTACACTGTACTACCTGGGCTGTTATTTAAATAACAATTTTAAACTTTCTGAAAGTTTATATGGCAAACAATGTGGTCATTGTGGAGTAAAATTCTGTAGCTACTGACAGAGCAAGAAAGATCATCTAAAATGTCGTAGTTTAGACTTTGCAGTCACAAAATGTGAAGACTGTAAATGCTTGGGTAACCTGGAGCTGGAAGAATACTTGAATTTAAACTCAGGGGAAAAGGAGATGAACCTTGGGGTTATAACAACTTTGTTCCTAGCACCACCACTTCAAGCTTCATGAACTTGGGCCAACTCTTAGGTAACAGTTGAGCCTCACCTCCATCTATTAAATGGAGATAATACCTACCTCTCAGGGTTGTTAGGAGAATAGGATGAGAACATAAAATCCTCATAGACATTCTTTTGAATCCCTTTTATGGGGGATGATATTTGTGAAACGTGCATCTGTCTTACAAATCATACCTACTCTTAACTTTACATTCTCTGCTTTTTGAAGAGAATAACCATGATGACTCTTGGAGGGTGATAGTCATTGTGGAGAAAAACAGTATCAGGAGTTCCTTTCCTCAACAGGACTAAATTCCTTGGAAAGAAGAAACTATACTTCATTGTATCTTTTAGCCTTTCATATTGTCTAGTATTTTTTTAATAGCATGGTAAATGCTCAGAATATTTGAACATGGGCTGGACTGGTCAACTGCATCCCTTCACCCAGCTTTTGTACTTAAACATCCACTATAGATGAGCTATACCATCTGCTCTAGATGGGCAAGGTGGTTATGTAGCAACTATGGACCCCTAAGTATCAGTGGTTTTATTATTCCACCTTGGCCTCAAAATAAGGAACACGATTATTAACTAAAAATCTTGTAACTGAGGAAGTGAGGGTAGGCTACCCTTAGGGATTTGGATATCTTTAGAACTTACACTGATGTAATGCAGCTTCTTAAGTATCTGCTCTGTGTGTGTGTGAATGTATAAATTTATAAAGTATTTCTGGAAAAATGAGTGGGTGATACTTAAACTGACACATGAATTTTATTTCCAAAACTCTAGCTATAAAAAATCATTTCAAATTAAGTGTCTACTCTTAAGTTCTTACAGAACTGGATTTATAGACCTGCACAGTAAGGAGATAAGAGTTCTTATATTCATTGTGTCTCTAGGAATGCTACCACTGCTTAGAACAGGGGAGAGCTGTTAGCTCTGTTAGTGTTGAAGCTTTTACAGGAGGTAAGAAAACCAAATTAATACATTTAGCCTCGAAACGAAATACCGCTGGTGCTGATGTACTAATAAACTTGGGGTGGCTATTTTAACCTCAGTCTTTGATAGAGGAGTTATCTGAGACTCACAGAGGTTGGCCACTTTTACCAAAAGGTTCTGGGATTGGAAGCCAGGTATACCGGCTTTAGAGCCTAGATTGCCAGAAACTACTCTCCCTATCGCACTGTTGTGAAGAATAAACAGTCCTGCACAGGCCGGGCAAGGGAGAAGGAAGAGGTCAGCAGAGAGGAGGAGTGCAGCAGTGGGCCGCTTGGGTTCCAGTGTCGGAGGTGGTTGTAGGGTGGAGAAGGATGGAGTAGGGGGAGAGAAAGTTGTGAAGACCCTGGTCAGGTTGTGAAGTCCTTTTACAGACCACATAGAGGGACTTGGCATGTAGATGTTGAGGATACATGGGTGATTCTTAGAAAAATGGAGGTAGTCAGTTAAGCAGTGGTTTTAATTGTCTTAGTTTCTCAAAGTATGGTTTTATTTTTAAATCAGTCACCTGAAAGTGCTTGTTTTAAATGCACATTGTTGCCCCGCCCCACACTGTAATGAACTCGAACCTGTATTTCTGATAGGTCTCTCAGATCATTCTGATGTATGCTGGAGCTTAATATCCAGTATTTTGAGAAGTGTTTCCCAATGTGTAGTAGTGTAATCAACTTCTGCTGTTTTGTTTCCCTTTGGCAATTAAAAATTTTTTTTTTTCATTTGAAATAGAATTCACAACCAAAAGAGCACAGGGCTTGAGGCAGCAGGGAGGATGGGGGACACCAGAGCCCATTCTGGGATAGGAATTTGTGCCTCTGATCCCTCTACGTGACACCTTTGCCAAGGAGGAAGAGTCTGTAAGCCAGAGATTTTAGAAGGAGCAGCTCCTGCTTTAGGTATAGAACACTACCTCCACAGCAAGCAGCACAGACTGGAAATCAGACCGCTCCCCCACTCCCTTTCATCCACGCAGACACATAGAAGCTCAGATAGGGAAGTGTGTGCTAAGTCCCTTTGGTTGTGCCTGACTCTTTGCAGCCCTATTGACTGTACCCACCAGGTTCCTCTGTCTGTGGGATTCTCCAGGCAAGAATACTGGAGTGGTTTGCCATTTTCTTCTCCCCCGGATCTTCCTGACCCACCCAGGGACTGAACTCACGTCTCGTACGTCTCCTGCATTGGCAGGAGGCTTCTTTACCACTAGTGCCACCTGGGAAACCCCCAGATAGGGAAGGGCACACAACAAATCAGAGGTGAAGTCAGGACCAGGACACCTGGGCAACCTTAGCAGAGAACTGTGGTCACAGGCCTGCATGTGCAGAGCGGACCATCAGACATACACGTCAGGTGAACGACCTTGTGGCAAGAAATGGCTTTGGTTTCCTGGTAGCAGTGTGGTCCCTGACCTCAGCCAGAGGTTGCTATATAAAGGCCAAGAACGGGGTCATGGTTATGAACCTCAGGACTTTCTTTTTTTTTTTACCAGAGGGTGGAGCTCTCTGGCCAGCTCAGCTTCTTGGGGTTTCTCAGGAACTGGCGGTGCTGCTTGAAGGCCCCTGTGCCTTCCACCTCGCTGGGGGAAGGGAGAAGGCATCAGGGCTGGGTGAAGCCTTGCCCTGGTCCCAGCGAGGACACATGGTGAGAGCGGGTCGGAGTGGTATTTGTTCTCAGCTTCTGGGCAGTGGGCCTCGTCTCCAGCAGGAGAGAGGGCTTGGAACCATTTTTCCTCAGGCTGGCTGGGAGGAAACCAGCAGCTCTTGGTTCTTGAAGTCCCACCAGGCTGCCATGTTGGTTAGGACGGCGGTGTACCCTCGGCTGGCAAAAATGGTGGGTACTGCAGCCTCACGACACTTGTTGTACCGAACGTGGACGGCTGGCGGCCTGAAGAAGATGGAGTCGATGAAGAGCGGCTGTTTCCGGCTGTCGGAGCTGCGAGCCCCTTGGCGCCGTCAGAGTGCAGGCGAGGAGCCTGTGACCGGGAGGAGGCCGTGAACACATGAGAGCGTTCTCGGGCATGCCGAAGTTCTCGGAAGAGGAGACGTAGGTGAACACTGGCAGCGTGAGGCTCTCCACGAGGCTGAGGCCGGAGCGGAGGTGGGAAAGCGGGCACTAGTGCGGACCCGGGAGGCATAGCTGAAGTAGTGGCTCCAGTAGGCGAAGGCCACCAAGAAGTGGGGCGCCGAGTGCAGGCCGATGTAGAAGCACCGCCCGTACGGCGGGGGCACCTCTCGGCCGATGGCTGAGCTCACTGACGGAAGGTAATGGGCACGCCGCAGTATGTGGCCCGAATCTCCTTGAAGTGAAGAGCAGAGACGAGTACACAGAAGAGGAAGGCGACAGTGGGCTGCAGACCGTGACCGGGCCAGCAGGGCGAAGTGGGGCCGGACCAGGCTCCCATTTCGGTCCAGCGACAGTGGGACCCGGTGCATCTTGTCAGACCCAGGCTGTGGTGGCGAGGAGGCAGGCCGGGAGCCAGGAGCACCGGGGGGATACTCAGACCCAGCCCAACTCTGCTGTTTTTATACTCACTAGGAAAGCTTTCTGCAGAGAGCTGAAATTGTGTTCTTATGTCATTTACCTGAGAGGGAGGTGGAGCCTGTGTTGGAAAGGATAGCAGTTGACAACATTAAAAGTACATCCTTCCATATGAAAGTCAGTATTGTCTCTCCCAAAGTATGGACCCATTTTCAACCTTAGACATTCTTTTTTGGTTTTTGTGTTTTTGTTTTTTTTTTTGTTCAAGACATGAAAGAGATTAAGTCATGACTCTACAGTAAATCCTCAAATAATGTCAAGAGTTGAGGAAAGTAGATTGGTTTAACTACCTCCATTGAGTTTTCATGCTAAAGGGAATAATTTTTCCTTCTCTTTTTTATTTTTAAATTATGAAAGTATGATAACACATTTATAGGAGACTTGGAAAATACAGAATAAAGTTAAATATAGTTCCACTATATATTACAATTATTTTTTTAAGTAGATGAATGAAGATTTTTAGATGGAATTTCAATATCAACCTTAGGCATTCTTTTAAACTGTCACTATGTTTCTCTAGCTTTGGACTGATTCTCCCTTAAAATACTTCCCTCGAGGAACAAAGTAGTTTTAGCCATAGCTGATCATCACAATTGTCTTATTTCATTTCATTAGGGAAATATTTAAGGATGATAAGAGACTTTTCATAGTGTTCCTTGTTCCAACTTTGAAGGCAAAGAAAAGAACCCCAGGGCTAAATCATAAAATTGTCTCTATGAGGGACTTCCCTGGTGGTCCAGTGGCTAAGATTCTGTACTCCCAATGCAGGGAGTCTGGGTTCAAGCCCACATGCCGCAACAAAATCCCACGTGCCACAATTAAATTTGGTGCAAGCCAAATAAATTAAAAAAAAATTGTCTCTATGAATCAGCAGAGATTATACCTCTTATCAAAGTATAATCTTCAAAAAAATCTAAGTTGACTGAATATTTGTCAAATTTATTTACCTCCTTAATGAGGAAACTGATAAGGTGACAAAGCTGGTTTGAGGCAGAGTTGGAGGAACAGGAGTTATGTAGTCTACCAGAAAGGGTGTATTGAAATGAATGTGCTGAGTGATCTAAGCCGTCCAAAGTGAATAGCAAAGTCAAACCTCTGGGTTATTGAGTCTCAAGGACTTTTGCTCTTAGGACCCCTTTATATTCCTAAAAACCGAGGATCCCAAGTGATCTATCAATATTAACCTTATTAGACACTAAAACAAAAATGTTTCAATATTAGTTATAGTAGGCTCTTGAACAAGATGGGGTTAGGGTTACCCACCCTCCCCACAGTCAAAACTCCAGGAATCACTTTATAGTCCACCCTTCATCCTGGGTTCTGCTTCTCTGGATTCAACCAGCCACAGATTATGAATAGCACAGCAGCTGGTATCTACGGAAAAATTGTTGTTGTTGTTAGCCATTTCCTTCTCCAGGGGATCTTCCCAACCCAGGGACTGAACCTGCGGCTCCTGTTTGGCAGATGGATTCTTTACCATTCAGACACCAGGGAAGACCCTACAGAAAAATATCTGTGTATAATAGACCTGCAAAGTCCAAATCTATGTTTTTCAAGGGTCAACTGTATTTTCTTAAGAGATTTTTCTTTTATGTGGACCATTATTTTTAAAAAGTGTTTACTGAATTTGTTGCAATATTTTTTCTGTTTTCTGTTTTGTTTTGTTTTGGCCATGAGGCATGTAGGATCTCAGCTCCCTGACAAAGGATCCCATTGCATTGGAGGGCAGTCTTAACTGCTAGACTGCCAGAGAAGTCCCAAAGGTCAACCATATTTTAAAAATAAAAATAACAAGCCTATTAACATTTTTAAATGAAAAATAACTTTAGATATGTTTTCAGAAAAAAGTCATTTTTACACTTTTGCAAAAAGAACACTAAACTGGCTTATCAGAAGACAGCTGAATTCTCATATCAATTTCTGCATTCACATGTTGCAATATGTTGTTTTGGTTGAAGTATATGAGGAAAACCTGACCTCACACTTACGTAGTTGGAAAGGGAGGACCTTACAGAGTCCCAAAGTGTCTTGGGAACTCTCAGGGGTCCTTAAATTACACTTTGAGAATGACTACCCTTTATTAAAAAATACCCTTGGCAGGGATGCTAAACAATGCCCCAGTAGAACTTTGAAAGTACATGCTGTACTGTCTTTTGCTTATTTCCAAGTTTTGGATGATTTTTCTTAATATTTCAAAGCCTATGTCATGCTCCTATCACCAGAAACAGATTGGGTCAGGCAGACCAAATTCCATTTGTGAACAGTGAGAATTTGGACTACATTATAAATTCATTTCTTTAAACAATCCCCCCAAACAAAAATGTGTTTTTTTCCTCTCAATGTAAAACACACAAAATTTAGAAAATATTTTTTCTAAAAAATATTTTAGAAAATATTTTTTCTAAAAAAACAATTATCTTTAGTACTTTGAATTTATTGGAGGTAAACACTGATACCTTTTTTTTTCTCTTTTTAATTTCCTTCAGTCTGTCATCTGTGTTGGTATATAGAATGAAAGTGAAAGTTGCTCAGTCATGTCCGACTCTTTGCGACCCCATGGTGGAATTCTCCAGGCCAGAATATTGGAGTAGGTAGCCTTTCCCTTCTCCAGGGGATCTTCCCAATCCAGGGATTGAACCCAGGTCTCCTGCATTGCAGGAGGATTCTTACCAGCTCAGCCACCAGGGAAGCCCAAGAATACTGGAGTGGGTAGTCTATCCCTTCTCCAGGGGATCTTCCTGACCCAGGAATTGAACCAGGGTCTCCTGCATTGCAGGCAGTGTTGGTGTATAAAAGTAAGCATATGTTTGAAGAATCCCATGAACAGAGGAGCCTGGTGGGCTACAGTCCACGGAGTCGCAAAGAGTCGAACACGACTGAGTGACTTCACTTTCACTTAAAAAAAAAATTAACATATTTTTAAATTTAACATATCACAAGCCTTTTTCATGACAGTAAATCATGTTCTAAGTTATTTAACAGCTATTTTATTTTGTTATAATTTATTTACTTAGTTTCATAATGTATACTTGACATCTTCATTTTTGGTGTGTTCATAACACAGCAGTGAATAACTCTGTACCTACGTCTTTGTGGACATCTCTGCCAATAACTTGGAGACTGGGACAAATCCTAGAAATAGAATTACTGACCTGTAGAAGTCTTGTACCAGTTTACACCTCATTTAGCAGAGTTTGAGAATACTGTCCCATCACCAGTGCTTTTAGGACCAACCCCATCATGTTCCTGTCATCTATCTACCATCAGAAGATGAGGTCATTTATCTTCTTACTGCTTCATTTATTACTGAATTCAGTAGTTCTCATTCTTGTCTGTTTATCAGGATCACCGCACCCAGCCAACCCTGGAGATTGTGTTTCAGGTGGTCTGCGGCACAGGCTTCATTTTCTAAAAGTTCCCCAGGTGATTCTGCTGTGTGCTTAGGACTGAAGACCGTGCCCAGCCCTCCTACCCCTTCCTTTGTGCTGTCTACAGTCCAGCCCTCTGTGTTCTCTCTTCATGTCTTGCCTTAACTGAAACTGGGTTCCTCTTGCACTCCCTCAGTAGAATGTCTCCTGACAGCCTTTTTGAGGCTGATTTTCTCCACACCTATGTTCTTCAGGTCCTGAAGGAGGGTTAGATTAATTGTGCCCTATTGCTGATTCAAATCTTTTTTTTCCATTAACTGACCACAAACAAACCAGCTTCAGAGCTGTGAGACTTTTCTGTTCCTCACCCCAACTTGCTACTGGCATTTACCACACCTCTCTTCACTGATAACTATAGCACTTGGCTTGTAGTGCTTCTTTTCTGCTCCTTCTGTGGTCATTCTTGGCAACTGTAACACCACAAAAATGACCCATCGAATACCTGAACTTTTTTTCAGCTCCCATGATATCTTTTCCCACTCCATTTCCAACTGGTCCTAAGTAGGACTAGTCCTCAGTCACACTGTCTGCCTGTATCCATACTGCCTCCCAAATCTAAATTTTTGACAATTATCACTCCTAACCTTTCAACTCATTTACTCCTGTATTTCCTTTCAAGCAATCCTCTGATTGCATCAAAACCTTATTCTCTGGCCTTACTGCTTATTCATACATGTCACACTCATCTCACTTCCTTCCTTACTCAGCTTAGATGCAGTGGTCCAGCTTGGCAACCCATTCTTCTCTTTTCTTTAAGAATTTGGCCGTGCCATGTGACATGTGGGATCTTAGTTTCCCCACCAGGGATGGAACCCGTGGCCCTGGCATTGGAAATGCAGTCTTAACCACTGGACCTCCAGGGAAGTCCCGGTTATTCTTGTGTGTACATTTGTAGTCTCTTTGTGGTGTGTATGTGTGTTAGTCGCTCAGTTGTGCCTGACTCTTTGTGACCCCATGGACTGTAGCCCACCAGGCTCCTCTGTCCATGGGGTTTCCCAGGCAAGAATACTGGAGTGGGTTCCCATTTCTTTCTCCAGGGGATCTTCCTGACCCAGGGATCAAACCTTCGTCTATTGTGTCTCCTGCATTTGCTACTTAAGTGTTGGGGTTCTTTAATGGACCGGAACCTGGTGGTACGGAGTCGACGATAAGAACGTAAAAGAGAGAAAGAGGCTGATATTCCCTGGTTTACGCAGAGGACCAATAAAGCCCTTGACACAGGACTTCCATCGCTCATGAAGGCATCAGGCGCCCTCTCGAGGGGCTGAAGGTGCAAAGTGCCTTCTCGAGAGGGTCTTAGGAGCTCGGGCAGGAAAGTGAACACGACGGGTCTCCACACTCCAGAGCATCAGCCAGAAAAAGAGAGAGAGAAAAACAAAAAAGGCACGGGGACCTAAGCTCTGATGGAGCAAAGGTGCTTTAATGATTTTTCTATGAGTATATATGACTGTGGTACAAGAAACATC